TCATGTTTTACACATGCAAGGGGTCAATGGATTCTCCCAGATATCATAGTTAGGAAAAGTTTCTTCCGGTAATCCAGTTCGTGTCTCATGGGTCAAGGTTGCATCCTCCACAAATGTGGCCCAACCCATGTAGGGGTCCCCTAAGGATTTGGACATGAGACCCTTATCGGGCTTTATGGATTTCTGCCGGTGGCCCAGATACCGGCGGTGTCCAATTATCAGTTTGGCAAAGTTGCCACCGTGCGTCATTACAAAAACATCGGATTTCAGGCAGACTAAGAAGTCGAGAGCTGCTAGGCTTGTCACGTGCTTTTTGAAGCCATCGAGCTCAAATTTGGTGGCTAGTTCCTCCTTCGTGACCTGTAATATATTGTTTAAGGAAATCGTCAAGATCTTGCATGTTATAATGAAAAAAAAAAATGGTTGAATGAGGTTTTGTAATTGTGAAAGCGCAATTAGATATAGGCTATGTTTTGGTAAACCTAGCTAATAAACTATGAACTGATAAGCTAGCTTATAGCTTTTAAATGAATTTTGAGCTTATAGTTGATAGCTTATGACTTATGGCTGAAAAGGAAGCTTATATGATAAAAGTGTTAGGTAAAACTAGCTGATGAGCTAGCTGAAATAAAAATTTCAACGAATTTATCTGAAAAGCTACCTAAAGAAGCTTATGACATAAACTCGAGTTTTTTAAAAAAAAATCTTCCTACCAAACGAAGAAGCTTATTTGAGTACAAGAAGCTTATAGATAGCTATTTGGTTACCAAAATATAGTCATAAATTTTTCATTTTCATTTCCAGTCAAGAATAGTTTTATCCGAAAAATGATATAAGAAATTTCAGATAGCCCATCTTTCAGTAATTCTAAATTTATTCTCATGTCAAGCTTATTCACACACTTTAAAAAATGAGACCAATCATTAATGCACGATTTTTCTTCAAACTTTCCAGTTGCACATTCACACATTTTTAAGCTACTATTTTCACATAACTTTAATCATTATTCGCCTTGTATTCATAAGCGAATTACGCTCTAAATAACCTTATCAATTTTTAGGATAATGAGAAGGAGAATCTCAAGTATAGAAGAGTGAATGGACTAACAAGATTGGGGAACATGTTTCTGAGTGGTGCCATGCGGTTTTGGCCACCATAAACCTGTCCAGATGCAACGTATATTTGGGTTTCTTTAGGATAGCCCATTGCCCGAAGCATAACAGCTACCTCGCCTGGCTCGAGAGGGCACCGACCTTCCTTGCGCTTCTGAAGTGCCAAGGCCCAAAGATGAGACCCATCCTGCAAACAAAGGACAAATAAAGTTGCATAAAAAAAGGTTACATGAAGAGAAAATTCAAACTTTGGGTGAAAGAGAACTACATTCTGTTGTAATACTGATTGTAGTTTAACTCTGTGTATTATCCTTCAGGACAATTTTTTAACCAGGAAAAGGGCAAAATAGGAAATGATACCTTGAAACGTCGGGGCCATTCTTTTAGTCTGTACAAGGCCATTAGTGCCTTTTCCATCCTGGTCCCAACAAAGTCACAGAATGAAAGGCCGACCATACCTTTCTCAAACCTTAGATGAAGAGCCCTGATGACATGCATAATAAGAAAAAAAAATGATTATTCAACTAAATAAATAACCCTTCATCCGAAAAAGAAACTATGTATAGAGCAATGATTGCTTAAGAATGATGGGGCTACGAAAGGAAAAACAGATAAACTACAGTGTCACTCACATAAAAGGATTTGAACTGGAATCACTCACATAAAAGGATTTGAACTTCCAGTTCTGTTTCGCATCCTAGACACGAGTGAATCAGCCATATCCTCTATTTCAGGAAGAAATTTTAGAGCATGATAGTTCACTCTGCACCTTAGCCTGTTGATCTCTTGAGGGACATTATCGTACCTTAAGGTAAAGCAAGACTGTAAAAATGTATACTTTTATGACGTGGAAAGATGAAAAATTCTAACATGGAGTAAGAGGCGATAACTCACCCCAGCCGATCGACAAAGGGTTTCAGGGCCATTATCTTCTTTTCCTTGATACGAGGCAAAACATTGTCTATGTAGAACTGTGCTGGAGCATACTTGGGGATGTTTTTGACCGTACGCCTGTCGTGGATTATTGTGAAATTAGAAATGACGACTTACAAACAAATTGAACTACAGTTGTGTGAATAAATTGTATCATGAATTAAAAACATCAATTTACATGAAGGGACGAAGTCCTTTGAACAATCAACAACAACAACAACAACAACAACATACCCAGTATATTCCCAACAGGTTGGGGTCTGGGGAGTCAGTTGTACGCAGACCTTACCCTTGTAATTATACAAGGAGGCTGTTTCCGTAGCGACCCAAGGTGCATTGCGCCGTTTGATATATTTTTTTTTTCTAGAAACTTCACTAATAAAAGAAGCACTAGAATTTAATTGAGCCATTTTGATCTAGTCCATTATTAGCACTATGCCAGGAGAATTGTCAACAATGACTCTTCCAGCTCCATTTGCAATGGACAAATAAGAATTTTTTTCTTTGATGTTCACAGCTGGTTAATACATATTCAGCAGAATTCAGAGAAATCAAACCTTATGCTACTGAATAGCTCGGTTTTGTCTGTGAACCATTCTGGGATATCTCTCACGATCCGCACGTCATCTTTCAAGTAGTCAATAAAATGATCCACATCAAATATGTCTTCAAACTTCCTGCAGATGACGTTTAATTACTCACAATTTGAACCCTACGATACAGTTTGTGTCTCAGATTTCTCATTAATAGATAAGGCACACAACACGAGTTACTGTAAATCCATCCTCAAACTATAATAACATCACTTGATTAGATAAAGAAACATATTTCAAGAAACAGATGTTAAAGTCAAGCTAACATATTTCAAGTGCGGGGGAATTAAGATTTAAGATAAAGTTATCTAAAGTAATCTTGTGCTCTAGCTAAGCTGAGAGCACTGTGAATAAAAAAACCCACAGTGATTCAGAGAATCCTAAGGCAAGTTTAATTTTTAATAAAATGAAAAATGCATAGCATAGGTTTAATCTTCACTCACGTTTGGTCTTTCCATATCTGGTCTTGCTTCAGCACAGGTAAAATAAGAGTAGCATTGATGATCTTTGCCACAGCAACCGCATTGCAAATCTGCAATTGGGAATATAATTATCACAATAAGCTTTAATATCAAATAGAGTCACATGCCCCTTTAAAAGGGGTTTCAACATAAAGGACTGCTATCCAATGTAGGCAAACAATCATACGGTTGACATTATTGGTTTTTAAAGAAGACAAAATAAATACAAGTGACTGTGATGAGCTCCGATACACAGAATACAAGTCAATTATGCATGAATTAACAGAGTAAGAAAGATGAAATTCTATTGCGAATTTCCACAAAGTTCACATACCGCAATCCTTTGTTGGTTAAGACCACCCTCAGCATGTATAAATATGTAACCGTTCGTTTCATTCTCCGCAGGAAGATCTGCATGGTTAGAAAAAAAATTAAAGAAAAATGAAAAAATATTTGCTTGCAGCTTAATTATGATGACATAACCAGGATCAAACAACTCAACCTTAGAGAAAATCAACACAAACACTTCTAAGAAAAGTGGTCAGTGTTTAGCAGACTTTATTTCAGAATACCTGAAATTATGCCCTCACGTCGCTCAGCACAAGGTTTCCATGATGTAGTGGCTGAATGAGGATTTTCCCAAAGTGATGGAGTCTCCTTTACCTACTTACAGTAAAAACAATGCATTTACAAAACAAAACCAGCCGAAAAGATAAAAAAACTGGACAAAAAGCAAACAATTGTTTGAGCTTACATGAGGGCAATGCAGAGTAATGCCATCCTTTTTGCACAAATATGGGGCATTCTGCAATTAAAGCAGCAAGAAGGGCCAATACAGATATTAGAGAACAAAAAGCATGATAACTTTGTGAATGAACTTTCCCAAGTACAGTATTGGCAAAATGAATTACAATCTAAAGTCCAATTGCACTTGTGTATCTTATCTCAGAAGAACCAAATTTAAATTTATGGTAACATAGTAGGATTTCACACAGTGGGAAAACCAACTTCATTTATGTTCTTCTCCATAAATCTCGCTCTTCATAACTACATTTGAAGTCCAGAAGTTCGTTTCGACGGATCAAACACGATTGATGTATCAAACTGGTGATCCCTTGCAAAAGATTACACTTTTATTATTCGACGCATATGCCTGATATTATGTAATAACTAATCCATGTCTCACTAATTTTGCCTTATCACAGATATGGAACAATTGACCCATTCCAAAATTGAATCAACAAACATCTTTCAACATAAAAAATTTGCTGATATCATAAAGCACGTGAAAGGGTCGTCGGCATACCAATCGTTTGACGACAGAAGTAACTGAAATCACGGCGGCAAAAACCACGGCGGCGAGTATGAGAATCGAGATCTTATGCCTATGCGGGTTGGGCCGATACAGATCGTCGTTCGGGGAGAAATAGTGCGGGAGGAAAGGCTTGAAATACGACCTGAATGAGCGATCCCTGGAATAGCGGTCTCTCCCATTGTCGTATTCGTCGTCCGCGGCAGCGGACGAGTGGTGGTCGGCGGACAACGGAGAAGGGGGGACGGAGGCCGCGGATGGGGACGACGTGGAGCGGCTGCCGAGGGAGCTCGAGTGGCGAAGCTCCGCCGTTGCTCGCTTGGGGCTGAACGCCAGTTTGAAAATCGGCGATTGGCTCGGCGTGCTTGGCTCCGGCGAGCACTGGACTTTGGTTTGGCCGCCAGTGAGTGAAGATCAAGGATTGTGTTCGGACTAAAGTCAAAAGTAAAATGGATATTATTGTCATTTAACACATTTGAGGTCCGCTTTCCCTTTTGCTTTTCAAATATTTTTGTTTAGTTGGCTTGGACTGGGGAACAAAATTTTGTGTCATGCGGTTTAACCCGCAATTACGAATTGAAGACTCAGATGTTATCTCCAATAATTTTGAATCGATCATGATCATTGTTTTTGATATTTAAAACTAATTATTTTAGTTTTTACCGATATTTAAAATTTATTCATTGTATATTTAACCAAAATTCAGCAATTTGAAAGAACAAATTCAGTAATTTTGGTCCACACTAAGTTTTGATCTGTGGCCTTATGTATGTGGTGTATATCATTTTGCAAGATCTTAAATCATTTTACAAAAGTATGAAATAATGTTATACTCTAAACAACAACATAAACAAAATTATGATATTTTATAATATAAGCATGCATTGTTGACAAAAATATTTTATAATATAAGCATGTATTGTTGAAAAAAATATTATGTTTATATGACGGGTCAACCATCTAACTGTTACACCATTTCAAGAATTTATGTTAGTTTTGGGCAGGCATATTCTCACCTATGCATGAAAATTTCCCTTCAAATTCCTTCATCTGGAGATACAGAATTTATTTGTTCAAAATTGTACGTACAGTTTCAGAATTCAAAATGGGACTTTTCATCTCATTTCATTTTATTACATCTCACAAGCAGAACACAAGCAGCATTTTGCCCTGCTTTGGGATGCCCGAAGTGCAGCAAATTTAGAGCCAACACCCATTTGAGATTTCATATAATTAAAATTACAGCTGCCTAAACTGCATTAAACCCTTCACATATAACAAAATAATCCAACTATCTAAATATGCTCTACGCCTTCGCGATTCGGTTCTTCCCCTTTCTTGACAATCGGAAACAAAACGAGAAAATAATAGTAATAATAATAATAATAATAATAATAATAATAATAATAATTCTCAAATGCCGCTGCATTTCCAATCATGCACAATTTTACGTTATTGAATTCGCAAATATGTAGCATTTACGTGAAATCATCAACTACTATGGAAGTACATCTTCACCGATTAATGATAATTGCAAATAACAGAAAGAAAAAAAAAAANTGTCGATCACAACAAAACCGCCTTTATACTGTACTGCTAAAGGCAAAGGATAACGAAGGATGGTCAAATTCATCTATCCAACTTCAAGATAGATAAAATACAGTTCAAATAAATACAAATAGCAAGTGACAAGCCATAGCCACAATTAGAGTACATCTTTTTAGGCTAAACAGTCAGTGGTCGAAATAAAAGGAAAGATATTAATATTCATTGTTAAGTACCATAAATCATAAAAGGAAAGATATAGTTCCACAAGATCAGCTTCATTTATCACTTTGGGGCCAATCTACACTGGCTACCACCAAATTTGAAGCTGTTTGTTTCAGTTTCTTCTTCCCTTTGCCTGTAT